TCCAGGGCTTAGAAAATGTTTAAGTTAAAAGTCTTACAGTTACTGCAGACTCCTTGCATTAGGATCTCATTTTTGCCTTAGCAAATGCCTGGTGGATCCGTTTGACTCGCGATTTTCAACCAAAACAGATTCGCTCACTTCTTTACATAATTAACCTGGTGGCGCTGGCGTGCTATAGCCAAAAAATCAGCTCGAACTCTTGGCTGCAGCTTGCGCTACGAATTACACTGATTCGCAAAGGCTCGCTGTGGTCCTACTCTGTACGCCTTACTCGCTCATGCCTTATGATGGCATTGAAACTCACCGGACAATGCCGAATATCACGAATAAAATGTGAACAACTACTCATTCCAAAAGCTTTTCTATGTGAAAACGGTAATTTTGAGAAGATGAAATTTTTCGCAGAAGGACAAATGCAAATTGATTAGTTTCTTGAACTTATATCTGGCCAGGTAGTTGCTATAAGGACAATAACACTCTGAGCCACATCTGTGTGCAAAAATCTTTTCAAATGCTCAAGTAAAACCTTGGCAAATCGACCATCGAGCAATCAATACTTTTCGGCGTCGTTTTTGTAAAGTAGTAGACTTTTGATCCCCTTTTTGGAAGCAAAGCCCATGGCTTGCACATTGAGATGCTAAGCACATCCACGACTTTGCAAAAAGTGGTGATATGGATCCGATATGCGGGCCGAAAGCCAATTGGACCCGGCTGACGCGCAATTTCTGAGGGATCCACTCAACAAATCCGCTCATGCTTTCGCATGGTGGAGTTTTGTGCTGGTAGCATGTGCTGTGCAAAATTTGGGCCCAGGACGTTTGCTGGAGCTTGCGCTATGAATTTCGTGACAGACAGACATTCAGACACACACACACACAAAAAAACGTAAACACCCTTAGCGCGTTATTATAGTAGGATAGCATACTGAAACCACAAGCTGAAAATTGTGTAACCCAAAAACAGCTTTACAAGCTCTGTATTCAGGAAAAGCCAGTGTTGACGTTCGTGTAATGCATTTCTTTAGTCTTGTTCAGTTTCTCAACTCAAATTCAACTGAAGTAGGCATCAGGTAGGCATCGCAGCAGAGAATTTTGTAAATTGTACTTAGAAGCAGATATTTTCCCGGATAGAGTCTTAAAACCTAGAATTGTTGAGTATGTGGATCTTATCCTCTCCAATTCACCAACTGTAGCCTTTCACACTCGAAAGACATAAGTATCCTCGCGTAAATCCCATGCAGATATGAAGAAAGCAATTCACCGCAAGTACGCCATGCCTTTCTCTGAAAAAAGGTCAGGGGTGGGGGAACGAAAGCCGCCAGGTCCAGCCTCCTCCGCGGACTGCTGGTCCTGGAACGACATGCAACAACGCTGCGAAAGGACCAGCTGGCCGCGAAAGGCGGCTGGACCTGGCGGCTTTCGTTCCCCCACCCAAAGGACAGTGTTTATCATGCTGGCACAGGCTGTTTTAACCTTGAGAGATAAATTTTGATGAATACGAAATTATCCCCTGAGGTAGATTGTACCTTGAAGTACCTTCTCAAGGTATCTTATATTGAAGTAGGGTTCATTCTAATCTCACCACCGCAGCCGAAGCAGCTAGAAAGGTACGTGCCATAAATTCATCCCTTCTTCATATCTCAGGCTCTGAAAACGTATGAGCCGGGGAAAATCACGCAGTAATGTGCCAAATCTGCTCAGTCGCTATTGTGCAGCCCACGCGCGGCCTTTGGGTGCAAATGCACTAAAATGCACTCGAAACGCGATCCTCCATAGGGCGGCTGACCCCGGATCATAAGTTTAGTATAATTTTCCTTCCCGTGTCAGCCCACAATTTGTCAATCGCAGTAATAATTGAGGGCCACAGCTAGTCCGCTTCCAGCGTCTGAGCTGGCCGTTTGTGCCATCACGACAATCGTTAGTTTTGAATTTGGTATAGCTGATTTTGGTAGATAATCGAATTTCAGATATTGCTTTTGCTGAAGGAGAAAGATCATGGCGTCCACGTAGCTTCGCACTCAGTTTGTAACAATTCCCTATGTTAAGGGAAGGGAGGGGGGGGGGGTTAAAGGCAGCGGCTCGGCAGATTTTCGACTTTGGGGTTCTGGCAGATTTGGAGCTATTCCGGCCCCCTGAATCACGATATAAACTTCCCTTAGCGCGAGAATGGGGAAACCCTGTCTTTTGAAACCCTCCTTAAGACGGGCGCGGAAGAGTGAGCCATTTTCCTCTGACGTCAGAGACGCAGAATAAGGAGGTAGCGAGCGCTAGAACAATTCTGCCCTACGAAGCTACGAGTGACGGCGCGTTTTCTAGCGGCGAACATACTCGTCCGCACGAAGGTGCAAGGAAGCGAAAGGAGGAAGGGGAGCGGAGCTTGGCTCGCCCCCCTGGCTTGCAAAATTCACATTTTCGGCTCGGAGTTGCTCTTTTGGCTCACTTGGAGGGCCTCCTATCCATGTATGTCAAATTCTGAGGTAGGTCTATTCTGCCGAGCGGCTGCCTTCAAGGATCCGTGCTGCATGCGCGCTGCCCTTGGGATAAATTACAAAAAACGAGATTGATATGTCTTTTAAGAGTGCCAGGCTCTTTACTACCTAGTGGTTCTCTTTGTCTTTCTCATCCGCTCCTCCAGCGGCGCAACATACGCAAAGCGAGCATTGCGTGCGAACGGTCCTAAAATTTGTATACCCACAAATGAAAGGAAAAGAGGGATTTACAATAATGAACTTTACACACCGCTGAGAGTTATGGCACGCCCTGAATGAGTGTCACCGCACATTATGCAAGCTGAGGTAGAATTAACCTTGAGGTACTTTGATGAATACGAAACAGCCTTAAGGTAGAGTGCACCTTGAGGTACATTTTACCTCAAGGTTCATTTTACTTCAGGTAGCAATGATGAATACGGCCTCAGACTATCCATAGAAAAAGTTTCAGCTCTAGAGAAGCAGTGAGCTCGAAAAAATTGAGATGCGAATCTCTCAAATTTAGATGCGATCCTAAAAATCAAAAACTGGGATTTTTAAAATTTGAAGTTTTGTAACTCATCGGAGAAGTAACGAAACGGCCTGGAATTTTTAGGATGGGAAGTAGGAAGATGGCCTTGTATTACAGCAAAATTACAGCCAACAAACTTCAATAGCTCCGGAAAAATTTAGATGCGACCCAGATACGACCCCCTTTTGTCATTTTTTGCCACCATACATGAAATCATAAGAAAATCCGAAGGCTATAAAGTAGGACCAAATTTTGCACAAATGTAGTAGAGCACCTCTAAAGTACAAATAAGTTGTAAGAACTGTATGAAAAGCATTACAAACAGATTTACAAATTATTGATTATTAGCGTTGATAGAGATATGCGCTTTTGTCAAGTGTGTGAGTCTTTAGTGAGCCTTCGGAAGCAGGGCGTCTACATCATTCGGTACGTCCAACATCTTTATCACACATTCATGCACCTGCTAGCAGGGTTCGGTCCCCGTTTGCGACAATATTTTGCGGGAGAAATAGTGTTTCCCATTGAAAAAAAAAATGAACTAAGTCATAATCGTTTCCAAGTTTCCTCCCTTCTTCTCGGCATTGTTAGTATGTTGTGAGTAGATTACTAGTAAGCCAATCGAGGTTAGTATTTATTAGTATGTGGCGAACTTTTCGAGCTATTCGTCTTCTTCAGAGGCCTCCTCCATAGCCGGCGCGCAGATGTTGAAAGCGGCCGTTCTTCAGTGCCAATTATACCAATAATATTATTGGTCAGTGGCAATAATACAATAATGTTATTGGTATCAGTGGTACTGAAGGACGGCCGCTTTTAACATCTGCGCGCCGGCGATGAAGGAGGCCTCTAAAAATATTATGATATCAGTGGCACTGAAGAATGGCGGCTTTCAGCATCCTCGCGCCGGCGGTGGAGGAGGCCTCTGAAGAAGGCGAATAGCTCGAAAAGTTAGCCGGCCACTTACCAATAAATACTAAGCTGGATTGGCTTACTAATCTACTCACAACATAAGCCATAATCTTTTGAAAGTGCAGCGAATGAAGCGAATTTCTACGTTTGCAAATGTTTCAAATTACTGTTTACTCGTTTTTACTTGATACATTGGTACACGGCATTCCATAATTTTATTGTTAAGAACACGTAATATATTTACCATTAGATATCCTTCCATGCTTTGGTTCTTTATCCAAACTACCTCCTTTTACGACCCCCCCCCCCTCCCCTCCACCGCTACCCCGCCAAGGACCCCCCGTTGCGACAGTCGTATCACACGCTTGACCCTGATCCAGACTCAGAGCCGAGGGCGGAGCTTGGAAGGTTGGCAGATCCTTCTTGGTACGCAGCCAGCTCCTTCCCTTTCTCCCTTGGATACATGCGGTAAGGCCTTTGGTCCCTCCTGCACCGCCGCCCGTGGCGCGAGCTTTTCTACGTTGATTTTGTTTCCAAAGATGCGCACGCATCTTGGCGCGAGTCCGAAGCGAGGCGGCGCCTCATGAATCCGTAATCCACGTGTTGATATCGAGGGTATGTATCGTGCACCCCCAGAATTCTTCCCATAAGTACTCGATAAAATCGATAAAATCGATATCGATCGATGACGAAAAGTAGCCTATGACACCCGCCGGGGCCCGAAGTGTATGTGTGTCAAGTTTGGTCCGGATCGGTTAAGAAATGGAATTTTCTATTTGGAACATACGGCGGAGCCGGGTAAGCCAGCTAGTAAGCGATAAAATGACAAGATGGCCTTGAGTCACCCTGCGAGCCACTGGGCAGCTCAGAAAAAATTCTGAATTCTCACTTTTCTTGATGCTTTTCTTGTCCTTTTACATAACCTTCATTGCTCGAATACTATTAAATATACTATATTTACGTCATCAAATATTTGTTCATTCTCGTTTTAAACGTAACAAACAAGGCTACATGGCGGCGCCACCGGCGTAAATGATATCACGATTTAAGTATCATTTTTATTGAGACATAAACGTACCTATTACGTCTTTTCAGACGAATGACTTCCTTACTTCCATCGCTTTTATCAAGTTCAGAAAATGTGCAGAAGGAAAATGAAAAAAATTCTGTGAGTGTCTCCTCAGCAGTAAAATAAACCCACGAAAATGACTGCTATCAGCACTGCTATTTTAAAGGATTTGAAAAGCAGAATTTTTCACAAGGGAGGTGGCATAGGAACCTGTTGCACCGTACTAGTGCTACTGGTCGTTTGCTTGATGATACCGTTCGCCATATACATGTGTGCAACCAGTGAGTCGATATATGTTTGCAGTTTACAAGCAACTTGATCGGCATTGCTTAGAATTTGTGGCCTTGCAGTATGCTCTCCATCTCAGACAGTCGAAGGATTACCTCCGGCGGGCAAATGGCGCGAGTCTGCCACTGTCCTATTCTTTTACCGTAACGTCACCGTAACGTCACAAGCAGGCGAATGGGACCCCTCCCTAGGGCGAGCAAATCTCTGCTCGGAAATGCGCCAGATTTGGGAGAGCCCCGGAGCACCAAAATGGGTAAAATGGCAGGGCTCCGGACTCCAAAGTGCGAAGTGGCAGACTCGCGCCATTTGCCCGCCGGAGGTATCCCTTTGACTGTCTGAGATAGTCGTGATTCAGAGGGTTTGGTCTCATAAGCACGATAGACACAGTTGAACTCGAAAGTGTTCATATTTCTTGTGAGATCAACTCTAAATGAGCAAATGAATTGGGCAGACAAAATAAAGTAAGATGCCCTGTTAGTCCTAGACAACCATGGCAGGAGGAGTGGAAACTATACCATTATTTGCTTGCTAGTTACCGCAATTGAAGAATGTAAGTGAAGGTGTCTAAAGACGACTGCCTCGATGCGTGTATTCATACTTTCACGGCGTGCGCTCTTGACTTTTCGGTTTTACAGTATTTCATAGCACGTACAAACCGCACGCTCCGTCAATTCGTCGTCCTATGAGCTTATCTTTCAATCTTACTTCTATTTTTTTTCTATCGTAGCACCGCGCTGCTATGTGTTTTGTATGAACCCCATGCTCCTAAAGTCATAAGACGTGTGCTGCAGCTCTTCATTTTGAAAGCGAACGCAGAAAAACGGAGATGCAACCATGTCTTTCACTACAAACTTTACGTTCTGCTCTGAATTTCGGGGGCTTGAAAGGTTTAAAGATTGCGAGTATGTAAGCAACTTATAAGACATCAATCAACAATTGTTTCAAGTTCTTTTCGTTATTATATTAGAGCGCCTTTGAATTTTGGAGTCTCCTTATGAATTCGTTTGTAAAGAGTGTGAGCTTCAAGTTTGAGAACAGCAAGTCACATTGATTGCGGGCAGTTGCATGACATCATAGCAAAACAACGAATATTTAGTGAGATCAATATTCATCAGCCAGAACTCTGGCACTTCTAACAAAGCAAGTTAGACGTCCGGGAAACGACGTCTAACTTGCTTTATTGAAAGTGCCATTATACCTCATTTATTATCGCTGTAGATCATAAGTGATGGGAAAAACAGGTCCACTCCAGGTGAAGGGGGTTTATTTCGGACCTAAAAAAGTGAAGTTAATTGAGCCTTGAAATGAATGCTGACGTAAGCTTACATGCCGATTGACAGGAGTGTGCAAATAGGGAAAAAAAGGGGTACAGAGGCTTATGAAGAATTCTCAATGCTTTGGTTTTAGAGAGACATGAAAGTGAGACTTTTGATTTGAGAAGCCTTAGGTCTCATCAGTAAGCATATCATTTGAAAGCTTGAAACATTTAGAATCGACGTAGACCGTCTCCTTTTCAGCTCTCTGTGAGTTACATATGAATATTTTTATCTGGCTGCAGTGACAGCTGCTTTCATGCCATCACTTTGCGTTCCATTTCTGAAAGGAAGAGGAAGCTAAGCTAGAAATCTAAGCTAGAAAAAAGACGGCCTACATTCACTGACAAAGTCTTACTCTGTAAAAGCTAAATAGATTTCTTCATTTATTTTTCGCGTAGATCCTAACAAGACGCATGTTTTGAGCTTGGATGCCATATGTCTCCGAGTAGAGGGCATTGAGAAACAAAAGCGGTCTACATCGTTAGTGAGATTTTCGGCGGTATACAGATTTGTTGAATGAAAAAGCTTGTGGCCCCTAAAAAAAGGAAAGAAGATACAGTGGCCGCCAAAAAGTTGCGGACAACTTGCCCTCCTTTTTTCAGCGTTCATTTTCGGATGGAAAACCAGAATGAAAAAAGATTGGATTGCATGAGTTGATAGAGCTCTTCAAGGGCTACACACATTGCGATTTTTGAAAAACGTGTACTCTAAAATTTTTAAACTTTTTTAAGAAAAAGTCCAAAAATGGTCGAGTCACAATGTCGGGACAATAATTCTTCGAACGCGAAAATTTTCTTTTAGATCTTTTTTGAGAGAAAAACGGAAGTTTTCCGAACAGGTAAGCATACTATATCATAGAGCTCATCTACCAGGTATGGTTACTTCCAAAAAAACGAATTTTGAAACTTGTTTTGCTTTTTCACGAAAGAAAATAACTTTTATTTTCCTCTTTCAAAGCAAATTTCTTCACATGGAAACCTATTTTAGCATCCTTACAAAGCTGTTTGGATAAAGTAGATGCTCTTTACCATACTCTATGTATCGGACGTGCGCTGATGAGTTTCTTTGCTAAAAAGGTTTTTGTCAGTGCGTGCACATGACCTTACCTGCGCCTCTCCATTAACTTTGTACCGTTTTGCAGGCTTGTAGTTCAGCCGTCAGGCAATCTAAGAGCCTATGCTTAGGCTCATTCGAAAGTGCGTGACTTCCTCGACGCGATGGTATGCAAATAATCTCAGTTTGAGCAATTCCAGAGATTTAACGGATGGGGGGCAGAGGGCAGCTTTTGTAGGCTGAGCATTTTTCAGCTAAAGTTGAAGAGAGCTCTTTTCGCTATCAATTTTATCCTGGAAGTTCAAAACTACCAATTTTCTTGCAATATTCTACTTCGAAGCTCTAAGACTGTTCTGGTGTTCATAAGAGCCTTCACTCCACTCACCTCTAAGGCTACACTTTTTCACCCCATCCGTCAAATCCCTGGAATTGTTCAAACAAAACTTATTTGCACCCCATCGTGTCGAGGGAGTCACGTTCTTTCGAATGACCTCAGCACAGTAGATTTCGTGACGGCTGAGCTATAAACCTGCAAAGCGGATGTTTTCCAGGAATCGCAATATGTGGGTTTAGCTCTTGAGGAGCTCTATTATGTCATGCAATTCTATCATTTTTTCATCTTCCTCCATCCGAAAATGAGCGATGAAAAAAGGAAGGTGGCTTGTCCGCAACTTGGCGGCCGCTGTATTTACAGTTAGCCTGCTCCATCCTGCTCTTCAATGGCTTGGCTTTGATGGGTCACCAGAGCAAAATTTTTTGGGGAAAACTTTATGCACCATTATTTTACATGCCATTAAATAGTTCAGGAGCACAAGGAATTGACAGACCGTTTCTTTTTTCTAGCTGTTTTGCGAAGCGAGATATGAGAATTACTATCTAACTTCAAATCATGCTGTATTTTTGGAATGGAAAGGTGTTTTTCGAGGCTTCGCATGTAAATGGAAAGCCTTAAAATCGAGGAGTGTAGGAGCTTTCTCAATTTCTATCGTGTTCTTCAGTGAAAAAAATTAGCTTTTCTTCAATGAATGAATATAGTTCGGTTCTTATCAGTGGACATGCATCCATCATTGGGCAGACTAGACTTCCTACTTTTGCATACATCCCTGCGACAATATTTTTCATTTGACATGTTGCTTATTCAAAGGATTAGACATCCTTTAGATTTTTAGGTTTATTTCGCTATCAAACCACTCCGAGTGAGATGGGAAGTCTCAAGCTTACGCTTTTCTCAGAGGAACGCTGTAAAAGTGCAGTCATCATGCACTGACTAAGAAGCAGCAGCTGGCGGTCTCAAACAAAATATGTGCCATTTGTCACATGTTTTTTATTCTGCCGTTATGCCTTGACCCTACTCTTAATTTCAGGTGGAGAAATCATCCTGATTCCGACTTAAAAGTAAAGAGGGGCAGATTGCTCCACCTAGCGCACCTATACTGCAAATTAAAAATTTGATGAAAAAGGTTATGAATAAGGTGAGAAGGAGATAAAATGAAAACCATATAGAGATTTTAAGACGAGCGATTATTGGCCGCCGCGTGATCCCAATGCACCGCAACACTTTAGAGTCAAAAGCGATCTAGAATTGCACGCCCATGTCGGGTTGAATACACAATAGTCGTCGTTGTACGTAAGGCTTTGCGCAGAGCTCATCAAGAAGTAGCGTAGTAGAAGTTAAGAGAAAGCTGGGATAAACCGTTCGCTGGATGATATAATATCCTATACGTTCTCAAAAAATGTGAACACTCTCGCTTTTAAGTCTTTCAACGAGCTTGATGTATCATTCTGGAGCGAGATTCAACTTAGATTTACAGTAAAATTCGAATCATCAAATATGTGTAATGCTGTTCTGCCAACCAGGTTATTATGGTGGACCTTCATTGACCTTACGTTTTGACAAATATCGTCTTCTTAGGAGGTCTGAAAGGGGATTACAGTCAAATCATCTGCTCAGATAATAGCCGGGGAAGGCGGCCATGCGATTTATGGGCGGGGGGGGGGCACCGGAAAAATAGTTCGCCGATTTCTTGCGGTCCGCTTGCAGATATTTGGAAGAATTTTAGCGAAATTTTAGACGAATGCTTGAAGAACAATCGCGGTTTTCTTATAGATTAGCTGCGGAGCAGTGGCCGCATTCTCGCGGACTTTCCGCGAGAATATGCAAAATTTTTAAGGGCTGCACGGTCCTTTGTGGAGGACCGCGCAACCCCCAGGTACTTTCCGCTGAGAGAAAGTACCTCAAACTCAAGTAATTAAACCAACGGTAACACCTCTGCCACACAGAAGTCTTACCTGTGCTCGACGTATGCCCGAAACTGCGTAAAAAGAGTCCGCGCGCCTGCTGAAAGTTCGGCCAGCGTTTGCAGAAAGAGATTATTTGACGAACGCCTGCAGAAAATTCTGTGTTGCTTCCCGCTGGCAGAACATTAGACAGTAAAGGAAGTACCGCTCGCTGAAGGTTTAGCCATGCCCCAAAATCCTGCTGACCGCTTGCAGAAAAGCGCGAGTTTGCGGACCGCCTGCTCCCGGCGATTATCTGAGTATTAGTCTACACGATCAAACGCCCATCAGACTTCCGTCGTTTGAACCGCGTCGAGGCGCAACGTGCCGAAAAACAATCCAAACAAAACACTAACCTCTAGTCCACCGTGAAGTCACTAGTTCG